CGCGCCCATTTTTCAGGGGGGGGAAAACACACAGACGCAATCAATCGTCGATTTCCAAAAAATATGGGAGAATATGGGATGTGGGGGGGAGACAAAAGCCCCCCCAAAATATGGGAAAAATTGGGGAATCCTTTTATTTATGTGTATTCATTTGTGTGTCCCTGTTCCCCTTCAGACATGGGCACGGTGCCGGCCTGCGGGCGCGCCCATATTGCCGAAGCTGGGGTTCCCTTCTTGGGGCATGAGCTGTGCGGGGGGGGGGGGCGACAGGGGCGTGGTGCCGAAGGCGAGGCTCCTTGCGCGGCGTCATCTCTCTGAGGGGCGCGCCGAAATGGGCGTCGAGCGGCCACGGGGGTGCGCTCGTTGGCGCCGTGGGTGGAGCTGCCTGTGGGGCAGCATCTGTGTCAGGGGCGTGCCGAAAACGGGGCGGGGCCACCATGCGGGCGTCCGCGATGGTGCCCAAGCTGGAGCTCCCTCTGGGGCATCATCTCTGGGGGGGGGGGCCGGAATGGACGCGGGGCCACCCTGCGGGCGAGCTCGCTGGTGCCCACGCTGATCTCGCTGGGGCATCCTCTCTATGGGGTGTGCCGGCATGAGCCGGATGCCGCCACGGGGTCCGTGGGTGGGGCTGCCTGTGCGGTTCTGTGGGTGCTGTGCCGAAATGGACGCGGGGCCACCGTGCGGGCGAGCCCGCAGGTGCCCAAGATGGAGCTCCCATGGAGCTCTGGGAAGCTCTGGGACGCTCCAGGCTCCTCATTTTCCTCGTCGTCCGCCTCCTCCCCCTCTTCCTCCTCCTCCTTCTCCTCCTCGTCCTCCTCGTCATCCTCCTCGTCGTCCTGTGGTCGAAGCGTGCCCACAAGAGCGTGGGTCCAGAGCTCGTTGCGGGGCATCATCTCTGCGGGGTGTGCCGGAAGAGGCGCGGCCCGCCACGCGGGCGCGCCCGTGTGGGGTCGTGGGCGGAGTTGCATGTGGGGCATCGCTTGTGTGAGGGATGTTCGGGAGCACAGTCGGGGCGCTGGAGAAGGAGCCCCTTTCGCTGGGGAAGTGCTCCTTGACTGTTTTGCAGTCTGCCTATGCAGTGTTCCTTAGGTTTTCGATGGGAAGCCGAAGTTTAATTTCTGGATACAGGGGGCCTCGTTCCTTATGCAGGAGGTCTGAGGTGAACGCCCCGACTGCAGCCCGGCGCTGCCATGCGGGCGAGCCCGCAGGTGCCGAAGCTCGAAGTCCCCTTCTGGGGCACGACCTGCGCGAGGGGTGCGTCGCAAGGAGCTGCGTGTGGAGCATCATCTCTCGGGGTTGGACAGACCTCCTACCCTGACACGTCGAGTAAGGAATTGGCCGTTTTACGTTCGCGAGGGGGCGTCGCGGCCGTTATTTTTGCGGGTCCAGGTCCGTCGGTTTCGGTCCCCTGCTGTTTTCACGAATGGGAGGTTTACGAAAGGGAAGTTTGTCCACCGCCGAATCTCTGACACAGGGTGCGCCGACATGGGCGCGGATCGGCCATGCCGGCGAGCATTGTGGCCGAAGGTGAAGCTCCCTGCGGGGCATCATCTCTGAAAGTGCATGCCGAATGGGCACGGCGCTGTCGTGCGGACGCGTTCAGTGGGGCCGCAGGTGGATCTCCTTGTGGGGTGAAGGAAGAAATGCCGAACGTTTAGCTGGGTCGCTCAGTGGCGCTTCAGGTGGAGCTGGCATAGACTCCGTGAGGGGCGTGAAGAAATGGGGCGCTCCCACCGTTGCCGTAGGCGGAGGGGCGGAGGGAGCTCATTGTGAGGCATGATCCGTGTGAGCGGAGTGCCGACATGCAAGCGGTGCCGCCATACAGGTGCATTCGCTCGCGCCGTAGGTGGAACGCCCCTCTTGGGGCATTATCTCTGCGAGGGGTGCGCCCAGATGGGCGTGGTGCCGCCATGCGGGCGCTCACGCTGGGGCCGCAGATGGAGCTCCACGTGGGGCATGGTTTGCGCAAGCGGTGTGCCGAGATGGGCGCAGTGCCGCGCCTTTTCGGGCGCGCCCAACTGGTGCCGTAGGAGGAGGTGTTGCGGGTCACGGCGTGCGTAGGGTGCGTGCCGAAATCGGAGCGGTGTCGCAGTGCGGGGTCGCTTAGCGGTGCCGAAGGCGGATCTCCCTGTGGGGCATCATCTCCTTGAGGGGTGCGCCCAAATTGGCGTGGTGTTGCCATGGGGCATCATGTCTGTAAGGGGCTTCTCGAGACGAGCGCGGTGCAGCCATGCGGGTGCGCCCATTGGTGGCGTGAGTGGAGCCTCTTGTGAGGCATGATCCGCGCTTGGGGTGCGCTGGAACGGGAGCGTCGTCGCCATGCGGGTGCGTTCATCTGTGCCGTAGGTGCTGTCATGCGGGCGCGATCACTGTGGCCGTAGTGGAAGCTCCCTGTAGGGCATGCTATGTGTGAGATGTGTGCCGGGATATGCGAAGTGACGCCATGTGGGTGCGCAAATTGGTGCCGAAGGTGGAGTTCCATCCTCTTTGTAAGGGGTGCGTGGAGTTCGACGTGGTGCCGCCATGCGGGCGCTTCGACTGGGGCCGTAGGGGGAGCACTCTGTAGGGCATGATGTGTGTGTGTGTGTGGGCGGTGTGGCAAAATGAGCGTGGTGCCGCCATGCGGGTGCGCCCTCTGGTGCCTTCGGTGAAGTGTGCCAGAATTGGAGTGGATCCAGGAAGCGGCGGAGGAGGAGGAGGCGGAGGAGGAGGAGGAGAAGGATAACGATTTGGACACACAGGGCCAAGGAGGCGGAAGGGCGGCGCTGCGGATTCAAATCGAGGGCCCGACACCACGGGGAATGTTGGGAAAATATGCAATTCATCCATGTGTTCATTACTTGTAGCCTCTGGCACATCGACAGCCCTCTATGGATGTCTGCTTCCCTTGTTTTCTGGAGTATATTGGGGCCGCGTAGGAGCATCTTGGTGCATTTGAGGGAGTCGGGCGGTCGTGTCTGGACGGTTTGGAGACATCCTGCGAATATCATTGCGCGGTATTAGGTATTAGGCCGTCTTGAGGTCAAAGTGAGCGCCAGAGAGCGAAACCAGAGGAAGGTGTGACACTCAGATCTGCAGCGATTTGGGGGGTGCCCTTAGGTAATGTGAGACACCTTACCAGACCGTTAAATCAGCCCTCTAACACTCCATCATCGTGCAGGCACGGATGCGGATTTCTAATCGGGGAGTCTTATCGGAGACGTTTACGGCGAGTCACCGCCGCCCCTTGCCTTTTGGAAGCGCCTCTGTTGTGAAGTGATGAGCGGAAGTGCGGCCACCCTAATGTATTGCACGTACCCTTCTTTTTTGGGGATGCCATTGGGTCGACTAGGGGTGGGCCGTCTTAGGAATGTATCGGAGCTATTTTCGGGTCTTCTGTTGGGGCCTTCTGGGGCCTTTTATGCAATTTTGGAGCTATCTGGAGGCGATTTCTGAGGCCGTCTTTGGGGGCCTCTCTTGGGACGTCGTGTGGTCCTCTTTGGGCCTTCCTGGGCGGGTCTTGGAGCCTCTTGGGCCGTCTTCGATGCTCGTTAGACCGAAAGGCGGAAACCTGGAACACACACACACACACACACACACACACACACACACACGCACGCACGCACGCACACACACACGCACACGCAAACGCAACCGCACACGCACACACACACATTCACACACACACACACACACGCACGCACACACACACGCACACGCACACGCACACGCACACGCACACGCACACGCACACGCACACGCACGCGCACGCGCACGCGCACGCGCACGCGCACGCGCACGCGCACGCGCACGCGCACGCGCACGCGCACGCGCACGCGCACACGCACGAACATACACACACACACACGCACAAACACAAACACAAAACAAACAACCACAAGCACAAACACAAACACAAACACAAGCACCTCCACAACCACAACCACAATAATTCACAAACACACAAACACACACAGACACACACACACACACAACACACACAGAGATTGGGCCTTTTCGGCCGACCCCGACGGCCCAACAGACGTCCTGAGATAACCCTAAGCGGGTTTCTTGCTGCCTCGGGGACCCTCGTGGGGCGGGGGGGGGCCCAAGCAGCAGTTCGAGCTGCCCCCTCTTGGAGTTGTCTTGGGGCCTCTTCGGTACCTTAGGCTTCCTTGGGAACCTCTTCGGCTGTCTTGGATGCCCGTGCAGAAGCGCTAACTTGTTGAACGATGATGTCGTCTTGGGCTGACCTCAAGAGCGCCCCAGGACGGTCCAGTGGTGGCATCTTTGGTCGGCGGTGGGTCCAGCGGGGCAGTGAGGAGGGGGCGGGCCTTCTCAGAGGGCGGCCAGACTTCTCGGAGGCCCTCCGACCTTTCTGAGAAGCCTTAGACAACTTCTCGGAAGGCTGGAGGCCTTCCCAGCCTCCTCCTCCTCCTCCTCCTCTTCCTCTGTCCTCCTCCTCCTCTTCCTCCTCCTCCTGCTCTTCTTTCCACGCGCGGGGGCGCGCTCTGGCAGCCTTCCCGGGGTCCGGGGTACGGGGCCCTAGAGTCTAGTCGGGGACGGCCAAGAGGGGGATGATGACTAGGGGTGGGTGGATATCATGGCGTGGGCCATGATACCTCCCCAGATCTCATGGCGCCTCTTCTTATTTCAATACGTCCCCGTTTCCCCCCCGGGGCCGCGCACATGCCGCCGGCCATGATTTGCGCCCCCCCTCTTGGACGCCCCCCTTTTGGCCGCCCCCGATCTAAACCTCATGGGCTCGAAAGAAGAGACCACGCCGCGATCCTCCGACCACACCTGCACAGCAACTGTAAGATACAGAGTCTTGCTCGCGCATCTGGATCGAAGCGGGCCCACACGGAGTCAGCACACACACACACCACTTGATGCAGTAGACCTCTCTCTGAGCTAGAAGGGACTTGAGGACACTCCATTCGAAGCCTCGTGACACATCGGCGGATCTTGCCTGGAGAAACAGCAGCAGTCGGGGCAATGTCCAGAAAGGGTTGGAAGACATGGGTTATGCCGTTGAGAATTTTGCCCAGAATGGCATTACTCTCTCCAATTTCTGGTGGAAGTCCAACATGTCTTGGGATAAATGGGACCAGATCCAGAAGCAACATGCCATGGTGATCTGCATTGGCTTCAATCAGCTATCAGACTCGGACATGAATGCGAAGGATGAGGCCGAAGTGGGCAATATTGTGCAACAAGCTCTTGCCAAGTCGAACAATGTTATCATAGAGACGTGCGCCACTTCCGCAAATTCCCAGAAGCGTATATTCGCGACGATGACCTCGAGTGCTCATGCGAGAATCAGGCGAGAAAGAAGGGCAAAGGAGGTGGAGGAGAAGACATAACAGGAAGAGACGGAGGATGAGGGAAAGGGGGATGAGTAGGTGCTAGGATCATGAGGGCATGAGGAGGCGGGTGGGTTTATATTGGGGCCGTGTTAGGGCTTGCTCGTAGTTCTCTTGGGGTTTCTTGCAGCCTTCGTGACGTCCCCTGTGGTGTCCCGGGGCCATCTTGCATAGCCTTATAGCTTTCTTGAGGTTTCTCGCTAGAGGCCATCTTGGAGCGGTGCTGGGCTCGACTGGAGACGTCTTGGAGAACTCTCGGACAAAATCAGGGCTATCTCGTGCCGTCTGGGGGCCTCTCGGGGGTATTTGGGCCGTATCGGACGGCTCTGGACCCCAGGTTGGAGCTATCTCGTCTGGCGAGTGGGGAGCGCCGAAGAGCACTCGAAAAGCACCTGCGGCATCAAATGTTGCGCTGGGATGGCCCTCCGCGGGGCCATACAGTGAAGCTCCTTTGGGCATCTCGGGCGCGCGCGGGGGCATGTGCGGAGGTTCTCGTGGCCTAGATTTGGCCACCCGGGGCGGTCGGGAACCAGCTGGAGCCACTCTGAGGGTATCCACGGCGCCGCGAGCCTCTGAGAGGCCAGAAGTATCTCCAGGAGCTCAGCCCCGCCCCACCCTCTCTTCCAACTGGGTTGTGGACCTTCAGGGATCAGGAACAGAGGGCGAGGGACAGCTAATCATCCCACACGACGAATGACCCCCGCTTGTCGGGGGTCCCCGGATTGTACTGGTTCCTAACCAGCCTCTGTTCGACTATCCAGCTGCTTGCGGCGAACCCCGCCACCGTGCCAGCACAGCACCGAAATGCACGCAGGGTGGCTCTACCGAGCTCTCCCGTGACAGACTCGGTATAACGATATAACGCCTCCGCTTAGACCTATCCACATTGGGCCATGATGTCTGAGCCCACCATCCCACCAGCCCAGTTCGGGATGGGCTCATTGAAACTCGAAGGAAACAGCCTAATGGGGAACCAGGTGGTACTGCCGCTACTCCCCGGACCTCTGTCGTTTTATTTCTGACCAGGGTTTCGAGGCGAATCCAGCGGTGGTGGCGAGGGTTTCCCAGGAGGGCCAACGATGGGAACACGAGGGAAGTGATTGGTATCGGTACCCTTTCTGTCTCTGACCTGTATCGGGGTTCTCTAAGGGCCGCATTGGGCCATCGTTGTCGCTCGGGGGCCCTCTCTGGGCCGTCGGTCGTTTTGGAGCATTCCTGCGGTTACCTTGAGGCTGAAGATCCAGAGGGGCAAGACGCCATGACAATAATACGTTCCAAGATGTTCAAGATTTCCTGAAACTCCGTGCAGGCTCTAGACACGAGGACCGCAAGACATCCTGACATCATGGGACGTGCTCCACAACCACTGAATATCCAGATATCCAGAAATCAAGTCCGGGTATCCAGATATCCTGAAATCTTAGAATCGTGAACTCTTGTTATCCTGGAATCTTGAGCACATCTTATCCTAACACAGTTCTCGCGTGCAAGGGCCTTCCCTGGGACCCATGCAAGGCGTTGTGGAGCAAGGAGTGGGCGGCAGTTTCTGAAGAAGGGTGTCGCCGAAGGGCGTCGCCCCTACAGGAATGCGGAAACCTGGCCAGACAGCTAGCAGGCATTCAAGCGCCCCCCCCTCCAACTCTGCCGAGGGCACAGTGGCGGACTTCACTGTGCGAGCGAAGTGGTACATCGGAAAGCAGAGGGATGACCTCGACGACCCCGACCCGACGACCAATGCACTGAAGCGGCAGCAGCTCTACGCCGGCAGGTTCCAAAAATTGTCCAGGCTCTTCAAGGCGACGCAAGCCGCGTACAACACCTTCCAGATTGTCGACATGCATGGCACACTGGAACCGGGCGACATATGCGAAGACGGGTGTCATCTCAACCACCAGGGCGCAACCAAGACAGCGACCGCCATCGCACAAGCCCTCAAGTGTCCGAAGCCAGTTGCTCGTGGCAAGGGGCTCGTGTACGTGTGGATGGCATTGCTGGCTTTTGTGATCCTCAAGGTGACGCGTTTCCACCAGAAACGCATATTGCGTAAGGTGTCGAGGGCGTTGCTGTCTTGATCAGCATAGTCGGTCGACCTGCCAGGAATGGAGAAGTTCATTGGTTGCTTCACTGATATGATAAAAGCACGCGCTCACCCTACTCAGCACTCATCACCATCCTTTACCTTCCGTTCTCCCGTTCATTTCCATATCTCTCTGTCTGTCTCGTTTTCTTTCTTTCTCTCTCTCTCTCTCTCTACCTGTCTTTCTCGTTTTGTCTCTCTCTCTCTCTCGTTCTCTCCTCCCTCTCTTCTCAGTGCAATGATTACCGTCCGCATCCACATCATCAGGTGTGGCGGAGATCCTGATCTCCCACCGACCATATCGCTTTCTGTGGGTGTGTATATATATATGTGTGTGTGTGTGTGTGTGTGTTTGGTGCCTCCCTCTCTTTCTCCCTCTCGTCCCGTCCGCCCCGACATTCCGCCCTCCTCCGCCCCTCCCTCCCTTCCCCCATCCACAGCCCCTCCTCCTCCTCCTCCTCATCCTCCTCCTCCTCCTCTCCTCCTCCTCCTCCTCCTCCTCCTCCTCCCTCCTCCTCCTCCTCCTCCTCCTCCTCCTCCTCCTCCTCCTCCTCCTCCACCCCCTCCCTGTTCTCCTCGCCCTCCTTCGCCGAATCTCCTGCAGGACCTTCACGCCATCGGTTGTATTTGTTGTATTGCCCGCCTTTTTCTCCTCATGTGTCCCCTTTCCTGAAATCCCTCCCTCTCAGGAATGCCTCCTCCTCGTCGGGCCACCAGACGGGTCGGTAGGGCATGCTGGGCGTTTCGCTCAAATGTCCGTACCATGTTTGATCCCGAAGTTTGAGGTATCGGATTGATGAACGGATGGAGTGGCGTCGTTTTCAAAATGTGGTTCTCGTTTCAGCGCCGCGCACATCCGTGTTTCATGTGTTCACCACGTTTACGGATGGAAGGATGGCAGTTTTCGAACATGGGGCCTTAGCCGTAGTGTCGCGCACATTCGTCTCAACAGCGTCCAACAGTTACAGGGATGTAGGGGGTCAACAGGGGGCTCTCGCCTCAGCTCCGCGCACATTCGTTTCAACTGCGTGCAACAGTTGCACGGGGGGAGGGGTGCTGTTTTCGAATTGGGGTTATTGTTTTAGCGCATCGCGAATTCGTGGCTCGTTTTCAGCTTACAGTGGACGTTTTGGCTTTTCATGTGCCACGATGGATAGAGATCGAACCATTGCAACCCATATGTGGATGGAGGGCGGCAAATCTTCAAACAGGCCCTCTCGCTTGAGATTTCCTGAGTTGCGACTAGCAGGCGTTAGCGTATATAACAGTTTGCACGGATAAGTTCGCGCAGGATATGTGTTTTGAGTGTTTGTTCACATCTTGTTGCAGAAGCAGGGGTGGCAGCCTATGTTTAAAACGATCCCTCGCCTGAACTGCAGGACTTTGGGAAGCTCGCCTGGGGGCGGGTGGCATTTCTGCAGTTACACATACTTTCTGTGGAGAGTCATGAGGCAGGGGGACTTGGGATGGGTGGGCGTGTTGCAGCATGGCTGGTGCTGCATCCCAGGGTTTCCCTGGCACCTCGTCCTCTCCCTCTTCTCCCTCGTGCCTCCTGCTCTCTCGCGCAGCCTCCCGCTCCATCGCCCGCCTTCTCCTCCCCGGCGCCGCTTGGAAATCGGCATCGTCTGAGGGTTCCTCGGGCGCTGCCTCCTCCTTCCGCTCTCGCCGAGAGTAGCCACGGGCCCGCCCCGCCGTGCTGTCCGACCGCTCGTTGGCCCCGACTCGCCGCAGACCAGCAGGTGTCCTCGCCTGCCTTGTTTTCCCTCGGGCGTCTCCCGTCTCTCGTCCTTTCGCCTCTCCCGCCTGGGCATCGTTGGTTGCTGCCTCCCCCTTATCACCCTCCCTCGTCCTGCTCGTTAGGGGGCCACATACGAACCCACGTACGAACCCTACCCCTACCCCCCACGATTTCTGAGGGGGAGGGTGGGGTTCACTTCGCTCGGTAGCTCCCGAACGCAGTGAACCCCACCCTCCCCGTCAGAAATCGTGGGGGGTAGGGGTAGGGTTCGCATGTGGCCCCCTACTCGTGCCTGCCTCTTGCCTCCTCCTCCTCCCGGTTCCCCGCCCCCCCTCCTCACCGTCCTCTTTCCCGCCCAGAGCGGGCGCACGACTGAGACCTGTTCGCTGCACCTCTCAGCGCAGTCGGTCCTTTTTCGGATGATTACCTCCGCCCGAGAATTCCAGTCGTTGCTGCATTCCCCCCTCTTCTTCCCCGTTTCCTCTGCTGCCCTCTTCCAGCGCTCGGTCTCGTATCGCTCTTTGGGTTTTTGCTTGCTCTTGGCTGTCGCAGGCGGTGTCGGACAACCGCCCCTCCAGCCCTCCTCATCCCTACCCCTTCCTTCCCCCTCGGCCACGTAAATACCGTGGCAGGTCCTCAGGGCGTACAGGCAAGCAGTTTCGAGTTATAAACTGGCGAGAGTCGCCAAGAGTGACCCAGGCTTCTTACACAGATGAGCTGATTGAACTGCCCCCAGAGCTCGATTCCGATTCCGATTCCTTCCCCCTCCCCGATCTCCTGCTCCTCGCCCGTCCTCGTCCTGCCCCTCTCCTCCTCACCCGCCTGCCCCAGCCTCTCGAACCCTCGCCCTCCTCGTCCTGTGTTTGTACACCACCATGCCGCTCGAGTGCAGGGCACTTTGTCTGGCACACGCAGTGGCGCAAGTGGTATCGGAAGTGCGCCACCCACCTCTGTGCACCGGCGGCCTCCTCTAGCCTTTGTCCTCTCGGGGGCGGAAATGAGGGGGGTGATGACTAGGGGGGGGGGTGGACATCATGGCGTGGGCCATGATATTTCCCCAGGTTTCATGGCGCCTCTTCTTATTCCATGACGTCCCTGGCCCCCCCGCTGGGCCGCGCACATGCCGCCGGCCATGATTTGCACCCCCCCTCTTGGACACCCCCCTCTTGGCCGCTCCCGATCCTCGACCCCCTCCTCCAGTCCACCAGTCCTCCACCTTCCTCCCTCCTCCCTCCTCTCCCCAGGGCGCGGGAGTCTCCCGGCCAGGCGGCCTTCTCTGGCCTCCCCCCTTTTCCTCCTGATCCTCCTCCCTCCCCTTTTCCCGCTCTCATCCAGTCTGTCTCCTCCTCCTGCTATTCCCTTCCTCCTCCCTTCCTCCTCCTCGTTCTTTTTTCCTCCTCCCTTCCTCCTCTCCCCCCCTGCTCCTCCCGCCCTCTCTGGCCTTCTCCCTCTCCTTTATTATATATCTCGTTTTTTTCTTTGTTTCTCTCTCTCTCTCTTTCTCTCTCTGAATATATATACATATATAGAACATACACACATATAACTGAATATATATACATATAGAGAGAGATACAGATGTATAGGTGCCCGTTCTCTCTCTCTCTCTCTCTTTTTGTTATCCCTCTCTTTTTTCTCATGGTGATCAGACGGAAAATAACTAAGCTGATTCGCTTGTTGGTCAGTTCGAAAAAGCGTGAGCCCGCCCGCATGCGGCGTCACGGTTCTTTGCTGTGCCGTTACCGAGGCGATGTTGCATATTGTCATGTTTTTCCCGGAGGCTTTGGCAGATAGCTGCAGATTCGCGCCTCGGGGGCTCAAGCCAAAGTTAACCCAGACCGCAGTTATCCCAGAGAATTCGGGCGTCCAACCCTCCCGAATCATCAGGGTTGGGGGCAGTCAGGAATTACTACATATTCGCGCCTTGGGGGCCCAAACCGGAGTTACCCCGGACAGCAGCTATCCCAGATCGGGTGGAGCACCCCTCACGAGGCCCAAAGGGCCCCAGGGGCTCCAGAATGGGGCGAAAAACTGGAGGCACCTTGGGCAAGGGGCACTTCTAGCAACACCCGACCGGATAACTCGGGCGTCCAAGCCGTATCGTGTAGGTGCGCGCGCAGCGGAGGTTGGCGCTGGAGCGGGCCCTGGCCGCCTCGTTCGACGCGGGGGCGCGCGGGGATAACACAGCACTCGGCAACCGCTGCCGATATGCTAGTCGAATTGACGTTACCGCTACCGGTCACCATCATCATCATCATCATCATCATCATCATCATCATCATCATCATCATCATCATCATCATCATCATCGTCATCATCATGATCGTCATCATCCATCGTCAGCAGCAGAATCGTCATCGTCATCGCCATCATCACCGTCATCGTCGTCGTTCTCCTCCTCGCCCCTCCCATCCTCCCCCTCTCCTGCCCCCTTCTCGGCGCCCTCCTTCCCCTCCTCATTACCATCGTCGTCATCATGATCATCATCGACAGCATCATCATCGTCATCATCATCACCACCATCACCGCCGTCACATCATCATCATCACCACCGTCGTCACTATCATCACCAGCACCGCCATCATGATCTGCAGCATCAGCATCAGCATCATCGTCGTCTGCGTCTGCGGCTGCGCCATCATCGTCGCCATCATCATTATCACAATCAGTCTCATCACCCCCCTCCGCCCGCGCGGGCGCAGGCGGCGCCGCGGCGGCGTACGCCTCGACGCGGCAGGCGGGCGCCCTCGGGGGGCACCCGCCCAGACGGGGAGAGCCTAGTGGCGAGCGAGGGGGGGAAGCGAGAAGGAAGATCTCCTTCTCCTCCTCCTCCTCCTTCTCCTCCTCCTCCTCCTCCTCCTCCTCCTCCTCCTCCTCCTCCTCTCCTCCTCCTCCTCTCTCCTCCTCCTCCTCCTCCTCCTCTCCTCCCTCCCCCTCCCCCCTCCCTCCCCTCCCCTCCCCTCCCCTTCCCCTCCTCCTCCTCCTCCTCCTCCTCCTCCTCCTCCTCCTTTTCCTCCTCTCCATCTCCACCTCCTCCTCCTCCTGCTCCTCCTCCCTCTCCTCCTCTCAGAAACCATCTGGCCTTCTGAGAAGTTTGACGTGTCTCCGGGGCTGGAGGCTGGAGGCGTCCGAGCCTGGAGGCTGGGAGGCGTCCAAGCCTGGAGGCTGGAGGCTGGCACTTCTCCGGAGGCGGGAAGTTTCCGAGCCTCCTGAGAAGGCCCACCCCCCTCCTCCATTGCACCTCGTCCTCCTCCGCCTCCTCCGCCTCCTCCTCCTCCTCCTCTCCCTCCCTCCTCCCTCCTCCCTCCCTCCCTCCTCCCTCCCTCCCTCCCTCCCCTCCCCTCCCTCCCTCCCTCCCTCCCTCCCTCCCTCCGTCCTCCCTCCTCCTCCTCCTCCTCCTCCTCCTCCTCCTCCTCCTCCTCCGCCTCCTCCTCCTCTTCCTCCCCCTCCTCCTCCTCCTCCTCCTCCTCCTCCGCCTCCTCCTCCTCCGGCTTCCCCCCGGGCGCGCCGCCGAAGAGCGGAGGCCTCGGTGTTTTTGTTGTCTGGGGGGGCGGGAGTTTTGGAGGATTCGGCGGCTTTTGATGGGATGCTGGGGGGGTTTGGGGGGAGGCGTCGGGCTCGAGGGAGGCGGGGGTCTTGGAGGACTCGGGGGCTTTGGGGGGGAGGTCGGCGTGTTGGGGGGAGGCGGTTGTGCGGGAGACGGGAGTCTTGGAGGACTCTGGGGCTTTTGTGGGGAGGCGGGAGTTTGGGGAGGGAGGCAGCGAGCTCGAGGGAGGCGGATCTCCTAAAAGTGGCGGGAGTTGTTGGGCAGCCAGGAGTTTTAGGAGGTCGGAGTTTTTGTGGATGCGGGAGTTGTGGGAGAGGCAGTTTCTTGGGAGAGACGGGAGTTCTTGGAAGGCAGAAGTTATGAGGTTGGCGGGGGTTGGGGAGGCGACAGGCGACGGTTTGGGCGCGGGCGACAGTCTTCGGGGCGCCTCATGCTACTGACCATCCTGACCCTCGTTCTAGTTCTCCGCCTCCCTCCAATTCCGCCTCCTCGTTCTCTTCCTTCCGTCCCTCTCCTCGTCATCGCTCTTCTCACCTCTTCCCCCGCTCGCTTCCCCGACCCGTGCCCCTCCCCCCCCCCCCGCGCCTGGCCCCCCTCTTCGCCCGCAGGACCAGATTGGGGAGGCCGCGAGAGGCGTCGGGAACATGACTCTCGCCGCCGGTCAGAAGGCGACGGGGGGCACGCCACGAGGAGGTGGACGAGGAGGATCGGTGTAGCGTTAAGTCGGGCCTGGCCCTCCACAGGAGGAATATTCGAAAATTGTTGAACAAGCATACTCTGGGGACGATGTTTCAACTATTCTTGACCATGTTTGGAGTGTTTTTGGACTATTCCTTAATTGTCGTCCGAAATCCGCCTGTAGGGGGACATGCCCGACCTCAGTATAGTGGGGACGTGCACCAAGAAACCGCATAATTGTTTGTCCAGATGTCCTGGGTTTTTCCGTTTGTTGTTCTCTCCTCCCGAGCGTGAAGAGACTCCTGCGCCCAGGGTGCCCGGGTCTCTCCCCCACTCGCACCTCGTGCAGTTCCTTGTCACGCCTTGGACCACATTGGAGAGGAGCTTCTCGGGCCATGGTGCCATGTTTTTCCAATTTGAGTCCTTGGCTGAGAAACCCTGACCCTGGGCAAGACACCTGTTGGATTTTCAAGGTCGGGTTTCTTGCGGGAGTGCTCTTGCGGCCGCGCCCCTACTGTACAATCGGAATTGTTATGGACAGACTCGAGGTGAAGACCGACAGCAGGCCTTATTCATGTCGCACAGTAGACTTGCTGTCGGTGTCGCCGCGGGCGTCGCGCAGCAGCGCCCGCTGCTGATGTTGGACAATGGCTCGTGTGTGCAAATCGTACCCATCGTGCTCCGCACCCTTTTGGGGCATGTGAAGCGGGCGGGGAGGATGACCACGGCCTTCCCAGGATGCATCAACGATGTTACACCACACCCTTCCGCCCAGAGCCCCCTGCTCAGAAGGCCATATACTCGGAGGAGGATCGACCTCCTACCTTGACACGTCGATTGAGGAATTGGCCGTTTTCGGTTCGCGAGAGGGCGTCGCGGCCATCATTTTTGCGGGTTCAGGTCCGTCGGTTTCGGTCCCAGGCCGTGTTCATTCAGGGGAGGTTTACTAAAGGGAGGTTTGTCCACCGCCGATATACGTGTTCGTGGTCACCACTGGGAGCTCACTCTTGACGTACGAGCGGCCCATTGTCCTGCCAATCGAGCGGGCCTCTTCAACTTGAAAAGGTCCATCCTCATTCTCGTGCGTGCCAGCAGCGACAGGATGTACGATCACAAAAACATATAACATGCTAACCACTATGCCCACGTGATCAACATAATCGCCCTTCATTCATGGAACTGCCTGATCATGTCCAACACCCGCGCGTTACTTGCAACTATGGGAACTCTCAGGCGGGTCGCTCCTTCTCAACTTGTGATTCCCACTTAGACATGCAGATCGTGCGCATCAGGTCCCCATCAGACATGTCGCCGTGCTCATCTGGCTCACGGATGGAAGCGGCCCATTTCCGAAACACTGTTTCCGTCGAACATGTTTTCAGTGTGTTGGTCATATCCCGTGGCATCTTGCACATGTAGAGAGGGCAAGCGCAGCTCGTGTTGTGTACAAGGCTGGGCTGTCGCTTGAATGGATGGTCCTCATCTCGCATGGGGGGGTTCCCGCACAAGGGAACGCGTGTGTGTGTGTGTGTGTGTGTGTGTGTGTGTGTGTGTGTGTGTGTGTGTGTGTGTGTGTGTGTGTGTGTGTGTGTGTGTGTGTGTGTGTGTGTGTGTGTGGGGGGGGTTTCTGGTGACGGGACTTGGGATGGGAGGCTGTATTATAGTGCGGTTGATGCACAATTGGTCTTAGTTTCAGTCTGCCCATGGCATTTACGCGCGTTCTTTTTCCCCTTCCTCTTCGACATCGTCCTCCCCGAGAGAAGGGAGAGGTTTCCAGGAGAGATCTCCAGGTGGGTGTAGAGTGTTTCGGAAGCGTCGGCAGGTGTTGGTCGTTTCCGTAGGTGTTCGGTGGGTGGGTCCTTGTGAGGGAGGACTAGGAGGACGTGACTTGGATGAGGACGATTCTGATTTATGCGAGGAGAAGGTGTGGGAGGAGGAGGGAGATGGATGATGAGGGCCAGGATAGATAATGAATGGGGCCTAGGATGTGAGGAGGAGGAGGAACATGGTATCTACGAGGATAGGGGTTACGAGGAGGAAGAAGTGACGGAGGAGACAAGATATTCTGATTAGACGGGGGCAGGCCAAGGCGATCAACCAGGAGCACCAAATCACTGACAAGGCGGTCGCCATGGGCAAGGCTGCGACCAAGCTCCTATGCATTTCGATTGATGGAGAGGAAGCATGCTGCCAAATAATTTCCAGACGTCTAAGACATGTTTCAAACATGTTTCACATGTATTTTATGTTAAGGCAAAATCATGTTTCAAACGTTTTTTGAACATGTTTTACACATCTAAAGCCCATCTTTAATTCAATGATAGGATTGTTAGAGTGTCCATTGTCATGGTATCCACAAGCGGAGTGGTAGGTGCCAGATAGCGGAGGGTACGCAGAGAAGGGGCATCACCTGGAGGAGAGGCGGGCGAGAGAGAGGGGAGAGGGGCCGGGCCTGCCAGGAGAAAAGGGTAAGGGGACGCAGGAGGAGCAGGAAGAAGGGCATCGCGGGGGGGGGAGGAAGGAGGAGGAGGAGGAGGCCGGGGAGGAGGGGGAGGGGGAGGAGGAGGAGGAGGAGGATCAAGCAGTGGCGAAGCGTCCCGGCGTGCCTAAAGCCCTACCAAACAATGTGGTAAGAACCTATTGTGGTTTCCACGAAATGTTCTTAGGACATTTCTGGTTGACATTGTCTTATTTAACACATCGGGTTTATGTTCTAAGAACATTGTTTCTGTTCTTAGAACACTGTTGGGTTCTGAGAAAATTTCGTGGTAGGACTATAGGAATGCCGGGACGGTCGGTCCCTGCTCAAGAGGAGGAGGAGGATGAGGAGGGGGAGGAGGAGGATGGGGGACAAGGGAGGATTGGCGGAGAAGGAGTTGGAGAAGAAGGAGGGAGAGATAGAGGCAAATCAGGACAGGGAGCAGCAACGGCAGCAGTGAAAATGACGTGGCCGATCGGCAGAACGAGGTCGGCGAGTAGGAGTATGAGGAGGATCGTGCAGATAGTGAGCATGATAACGACGTGGACGATGGATGGCAGGACGTACTTGGAGGAGGACAACGACAAGAGTGAGGAGGCTCAGGAGCGGGAGGATGAATGGATTGATGGATTGAGGGCCAGATTGATTGATTGATGAGGCGAAGGAGGAGGAGGCGAAGGAGGATGCGGAGGTGGAGGAGGTGGAGGACGTGGAGGACGTGGAGGAGGAGGAGGAGGGGAGGAGGAGGAGGAGGAGGAGGAGGAGGAGGAGGAGGAGGAGGAGAAATACCGCTATGGTGGGGTTGCCGCAGGCCGCCGTCGAGAAGGCAAAGGAGGTGGACAACAAGTATAGCTTGGTCGACAAGGCCTCTCTGGGGGGAGGGCAGACCATGAGAAACCAACAGCGGGGGAAGAGGAGGGGTAGGAGGGGACGGGTAGGAGGACTAGACGAAAAGGGGGGAAGGGGGGAGAGGGGTAGGATGAGGAGGAAGAGGAGGAGGAGAAGGGAGGAGATGGGGAACAGATGGCACAGCCTGCCCCTCTATTCGTGTCTCGTACTCCTCCTCTCTCTCCTCCGTCCCTCCCTCCATCAGTGGCCTCGTTCTCTCGCAGTCCTCCCTCTTTCTCTGCCTCCTGGCTCCTCCCACCTCGAGGGGGCGAGCGAGGATCCCAGCAGCCCCCTCGCCAAAGGGGACACCAGGAGGGGGAACGAGATGGCCAGGACGATCAGAAGTACAGGACAGTCAGGGGGGAGGAGGAGGAGGAGGAGGAGGAGGAGGAGGAGGAGGAGGAGGAGGAGGAGGAGGAGGAGGAAGGGAGCCGATCACCACACGGCACACTTGCAGGTCAATCTTTTCTTTCATAGGGGAAAACAAGCCACATTGGTGGCCACAGTGACGGGCGCCCCCCCGTATAAACTGAAACGGTAAAAGGGCCTTCCCCGGGGACAAGACAAGAACGGGGAGCAGCCCAAGAATCGCAAAATTTCACTTCGCCACAGGGCAAACCAGCGCAGACTGTGCCAGCCCTTACCACTTTGCCCAACATCTGTACGCTATGTAGTTATATCTAAATATATATACACACATATATATATATTTATATATGATAGCTCAAAAACAAACACTTCTAGAGTCTCTTGTTTTTTGCCATTCATTCGCACCGCACGCCTCTTCTTTTCGCAGCTTGCCTGGCTGAGCTAAAGGGGTCGTTGTGGAACTGTTTTGTTTATGGGTATGGTGGGAGCACCAAGGCTCAGTGGGCCCCGTCAACAGCAGGGCCGTCTTTCACCGCTTCCGAAAAACATGCCTCTTGAAAGCGGAAACGGTAACAAAAACGGGCACCAGAAACGGCCAACGAAAACGGTTCCGGGATAGGGACTGAAACGGGAATTGGCAACAACATTTTTGGACGCCCGAAATGGATACGGAAAGAATGGGTATAATGCCCAACAGCAGTTTTTGTTCATTCTGAACAGGGCCCGCTGTCCGCGCCGCCGCGGCCTGTGTCCATTTGAGACAGAATGCCGCCTGCCCAACAGCGGCCGCTGTTGGTTTCGGACAACATTTGTTGTTGGGCATTGTACCTATTTTTCCGTACCCATTTCGGGCGTCCAAAACAACGGCGACGGAACCGGCCGAAAAAGCAGCGGAACCGGCAACAAACATAGATGGCGAAACGGAACAGGGGCCCAGTCTTAGTTGACGTTGTCGGCCCGGCGGGCGCACGCTCGAAGGTCTCAGGGCCTAAACGGTGTTTTGGCGATTTCGTGGACCGTTTTCGTTTCGACCTCGTTTTGCGGTATAGGCGGATTGAAGACAAAACGAGGGAAAACGAAAACAAAACGACAACGAAAAACACCGTTTAGGTTCAGCCCTGGTTTTCGGCCCCGCGGGCCCACGCTCTAAGGTTTTGAGGCCTTGCACCCTTTGTCGCGCCGATTTGCCTTGCTTGCTGCGCCAGCCAATGTGCCCTCTGCCTAGGTCGTCCTGCTGCATCTCTCTCGTGCATCCTCACGCTACGTGCTGCTGCATCGACTCTGCGCAGCGTCAAAGCAAGGAGGAGGGAGGGGGGGCGCAGGGCAGGGTAGTTCACAGGACGCGCGGCGGACGGAGAGGGGGGGTGGATGTGCGGGGTCGGCGGCGAGCGAGGGGGTGGGAATTGAGAAGGAGAAGGCCTTCTCGGAAGGCGACGGGCCTTCTCCAGAAACTCCCGCGCATCTGAATGTTTTTTGTGCGTTTTCGGGGAAGGCTTAGAACACATTGGCGATTTTTCCAGCAATCCCGGGGACCTCCGAGCCGTCTGAGAAGGCCAGCCCCCTCTCACGTCATTCCCTCGCTCGCCGCCGAGAGGGGGGGCTGAAGGACGCGAGGGAGGCACATGAGGAGGGGAAGGAAAGGGAGGATCGGAGGAAAGAAGAGGAACGGAACAGGGGAGGGGCACGAGGAGGAGGACGAGGCAACATAAACGCGAGATGGTTTGGAAGATGCGAGCGAGGAGGGGGAGGAGGTCGGTGGTGAACGGGGAGAATGATGAGGAGCAGGAGGAGGACGACGACGACGATCAGTGTACACCCAAGACGCATCAACGATGTTGTCATGCGCCTTCCCTTCAAGTATCCTCTTAATAGGTCTTCAGAAGAATTTCTCGGCATTGCAGGAAGTGGCCCATTATATGACGATCGTGTGGTGATCCTCAACCAGGCCAGAGTTCCTGCGACTGCAATGCCGCGGATCAACGTGAGTGATGCGTCCTGACAATCGTAAGTCGTGCCGCAGCACCGTCCTTGGTATTTAAACGTGGCGAATCAACGTGATTGTTGCGTCCTTGCAATCCTAAACCGTGCCATGACACAATCTTTGGGATTTCGGCCATGCAGATCTTCAAATTTGCTGCAACCGTGTGAGGCGATTCTGCGCGGTGCTGACACAGTTTGAAAACGATTCGTCCTCAATTTTGGGAGCTCTTGCAAATTCTTCACGCTTCGCGTATCCCCACCAGCCCATCTCAAAACAGCAACTCTTGCGAAGCATGCCGACAGTCGTGTTTTTCAGGCGTGTTTCCGCCTGCCCCCGCATATCTCCCCTGTTCCTCCTTCCTCCCGCCTCCTTCTACATCCTCCTTGTGGTGGGAACGGGAGAAGGACGAGGCGGAGGAGGAGGGAGAGAAAGCGGTGGGAGGCAAGAGGGATTTAGCGGAGACGACGACCACAGCGATGATCCTAACAACGACGGCGCACCCGACGACGACGATATCGACCGCGACGACGACGACGACCACAACCGCGACGACGACGACGACGACGACGTCGACGACGACGACGACGAAGGCGGCGGCGACGACGACGACGACGACGACGACGACGACGACGACGACGACGACGACGACGACGACGACTGGTGGGAGTCGTTGGGGCCCCTCGTGGTGTGAGTCGTTCGGCCCCATAGTCCTTGTGTGAGTCCTTCGGGCCCCTCTTCCTGGTGTGAGTCGTTCGGGCTCCTCGTGGTGTGAGTCGTTCGGGCCCCTCGTCCTGGTGTGAGCCGTTCGGGCTCCTCGTGGTTTGAGTCGTTCGGGCCCCTCGTCCTGGTGTGAGTCGTTCGGGCCCTTCTTCCTGGTGTGAGTCGTTCGGGCTCTTCGTGGTGTGAGTCGTTCGGGCTCTTCGTCCTGGTGTGAGTCGTTCGGGCTTCTTGTGGTGTGAGTTGTTCGGGCCCCTCGTCCTGGTGTGAGTCGTTCGGGCCCCTCCTCCTGGTGTGAGTCGTTCGGGCTCCTCGTGGTGTGAGTCGTTCGGGGCCCTCGTCGTGGTGTGAGTCGTTCGGGCTCCTCGTGGTGTGAGTCGTTCGGGCGCCTCGTCCTGGTGTGAGTCGTTCGGGCCCCTCGTCCTGGTGTGAGTCGTTCGGGCTCCTCGTGGTGTGAGGCGTTCGGGCACCTCGTCCTGGTGCGAGTCGTTCGGACCCCTCGTAGTAGTGGTAGTAGTAGTAGTAGTAGTAGTAGTAGTAGTAGTAGTAGTAGTTGTAGTAGTAGTAGTAGTAGTAGTAGTAGTGGTGGTCGTGTTGGTAGTAGTACTAGTAGTAGTAGTAGTAGTAGTAGTAGCAGCAGATAAAGTAGTAGTAGTAGTAGTAGTCGTAGTAGTAGTAGTAGTAGTAATAGTAGTAGTAGTCGTAGTAGTAGTAGTAGTAATAGCAGTAGTAGTAGTAGAAGTAGTAGTTGTAGTAGTAGAAGTAGTAGCCGGAGCAGCCGTAGCAGCAGTAGTAGTAGTAGTAGTAGTAGTCGTAGTAGTCGTAGTAGTAGTAGTAGTAGTAGTAGTAGTAGTAGTAGTAGTAGTAGTAGTGAGTAGTGGTAGTAGTGGTAGTAGTAGTAGTAGTAGTAGTGGTAGTTAGTAGTTAGTAGTTAGTAGTTAGTAATAGCAGTAGTTAGCGATAAGAAAGTAGTAGTTGAAGTCGTAAGAAGTCGTAAGTCGGAGCAGCAGTAGCACAGTAGTAGAAGTAGTAGTAGAGATAAGTATAGTGAAGTAGTAGTAGTAGAAAGTAGTATAGTAGTAAGTAAGTATTAGTATATTGTAGTGGTAGTGGGAAGTAGTAGTAGAATCGTAAGTAGTAGTAAAGTATCCGTAGTCGTAAGCAGTAGTCGAATTAATAGTCGTAGTAGTAGTAGTAGTCGTAGAGTAATCGTCGTAGCCACAGTAGCCGTATTAGACGTAGTAGTAGTGACAGTAGTAGTAGGAGTAGAAGTAGTAGTAGTAGTAGTAGTAGTAGTAGTAGTAGTAGTAGTAGTAGTAGTAGTAGTAGTAGTAGTAGTAGTGGGAATAGTAGTAGTAGTAGTAGTAGGAGGAGTAGTCGTATCCAAGGCAATAGGGAGGCCTCTTGGAGGCCGTTTTGGGGCCTCTTGGGCTCTCTTTTGAGCCTCTGGGGAACGTCCGAAGGCTCTCTGGGTCGCCTCTTGGAGCGTCTTGGGGGCCTGATGAGGCCATCTTGGGGGCGATCGGTCGCAGATGGGGCGAGCATTTTTCAGTGTCCCCCCCCTGGGGGCGACGATCCTCGTGAGGGGTGTCGAATTTTAGCCCTCCCAGGGGTAGAAAAAGGACCCTCTGACCACCCGCGGAAGGCCCCCTCCAGGTCCAGGGGGAGGGGGTAGGGGGAGGGGTAAACCCCTCCCCGAAGGGGAAGAAGGGGGATTGAGAACAGAGCGGACTCCCTGAACCACTCACGCCCAAAGGGCTGGTGGGATTTTGCAAGACGAATGTGCGCGGCGCCAAGGCGAAAGCCAAATTTTGAAAACCGCGCGCCTCCATCGGAGAAGCTGGTGCACACGTTTAACACGATAAGGCGAGCGCACCATTTTGAAAACCACGCACCTTCCATCAGTGAAATTGACGCGATCTTTTTACAGCGAATGCGTGCGGCTTGAGGCGAGAGCCACAGTTTGAAAACCACCACCCCACCATCCACCCGGGAAGCAGCGGCAGCCACGTTTTGAAACCCACGAGCCTTCCATCCGCGAAGCTGCTGCAAACGTCTAAGATACGTGTGCGCGGCGCTGGGGCGAGAACCACAGTTTGAAAACAACACCCGCTCTCCATCCGTGACATCGCTATAAACTTCACAAGCTTCAGAACCATACGTGACGACGAAGTCGCATTCGAAACGCCCAGCCCGTCCGCCGGCCGCGTCCTGTTTGCGGCGGGAGCCATTTATAGAGACAGAAACGAGGGAGGAGGAAGAGGAGGATGAAAGAGGAGGACGAGGAGTGGGAGGAGGAGGCAGAGGAGGAGGAGGAGGAGGACGAGGACGAGGAGGAGGAAGAGGAGGAGGAGGAGGACGAGGAGTGGGAGGAGGAGGCAGAGGAGGAGGAGGAGGAGGAGGAGGACGAGGACGAGGAGGAGGAAGAGGAGGAGGAGGAGGACGAGGAGGCGGCGGCGCAATGGCAGCAGTAGCCCCCCTGGACACACAAACACAAAGGGATCGAGCAGCAGCAGGGGAGCAGGTGAGAAGAGCGAGGAATGAGAAGTGAAGAGGGGGGCTGGTGCGGAGGAGGAGGAGGAGAAGGAAGGAGAGGGAGGAGATGTATGATGATGATGGTGATGGTGATGGTGATGGTGATGATGCTGATGATGATGATGATGATGATGTTGATGATGCTGATGATGATGATGATGCTGATGCTGATGATGATGATGGTGATGATGATGGTGGTTGTGGTGATTATGATGATGATGATGATGATGAAGATGATGATGATGATGATGATGATGATGATGATGATGATGATGATGATGATGATGATGATGATGATGATGGTGGTGGTGGTGATGATGATGATGGTGATTATTATGATGATGAGGAGGATGATGAGGATTATGCTGATCATGATGATGATGATGATGATGATGATGAGGAGGAGGAGGAGGAGGAGGAGGAGGAGGAGGAGGAGGAGGATGAGGGAGGAGGAGGAGGAGGAGGAGGAGGAGGAAGAGGAGGAATAGACTCCTTATACAAGCCAGCAACATCATGAGGCATTGGGCGAGCAAAGAGGCGAGGCGGGAGTTTGTTGCTGATTGTTTCCCGCACTCTAAGCTTGTGCTCGTGCGCGCTGTAGGCGGCAATGGAGAAACGAGAATTGGATGCGAGGATGAATGGGAAACTCAGGAGGGGGAAGGGAACGAGGCGGAGGAGGAACGGGATGAGTAGGATTGGGAAGCGACTGAAGATAGTGAGCTGGACGGGAGGAGGAGGAGGAGGAGGAGGAGGAGGAGGAGGAGGAGGAGGAGGAGGAGGCGGAGGGGGAGGTGGAGGGTGACGCCGATGTGATGAAAGGGGGAGCAGCAGCACCAGATCGAGGGAGGATCGGGGAGCAGCAGGAAGAGCAGGGCCGGGGTAGAACTGGTGGGCGCGGCTTCCGCGCGGCAGGCGAAGGAGGGCGTCAGCAAGGGAGTCCAGTCCGCGAAGGAGTTCGAGAACAAGTACCACGCGCCCTGGGGAGTGCAAACCTACCCGGGAGGGGGAGGGACATGGAGGAAGGAGCAGAGGAGGAAGCGACACCGATATCGCTGCTCGTCCTGGAGAGCCCCCTCGCCGCCACGGCTGGGTCCTCCACGGAAGCCCAGGCCAGAACGCAACACGGGAGAGGCCCAGGCAGTAGCAGTATCGGCATTTGTGCGCCCCAAGGCCCAGACACCCGATGGCAGGTTGTTCTCAACGCGCGGTCCCAGGATCCCTGCGGCTAAGCTCTAGAGTGACTCGTAGAGCTTCCCCATAAGCTAAGCGGCTAAGCTCTAGAGTAATTCCACAGCGCCGGCGGGCTAGTTGGCTCTAAAAATCTCGACGGAAGTTTTCATGACGAGGCCTCGGTTGAAAATTATTTGTTCGAAATTCAACAGTTCGTTTGAGTTCTAGAATTTTTGGCCAATCCCTCAGATCTTATTCCCGCTCGCCTTCTTGATCTCAGGTCAATCGGGTGGATATTATTACAAAAAGTCAACGAAGCGGGATTTTGCTATTTTTGCTATCTTGGGATCCTCCTGCCCAGCGGCATGGGCAGTTGGAAGACTGCCGGGAATACCCCAGCTGCTCCAGGGTGGGGCGGCGGTTTCCGCGTATGGTGCCCGCCTTCTGGCGGCGGTTCTGAGGGTGCACGGAGATGCCCGAGTGGGCGCCAGGTCAAGGTTCCTTCAGGGCGTGCTGGCCGTCGCACGGGAGGCTGGCTGGGGCCAGTCGGGGGTCCCACAAGCGTGTGGTGATAGACCCGGCGGTGGCCTCGAAATCCGCAAAGGCCTCACCGCAGGGTCCGTCGTCTTACGGTTTGGGGACCTCGGAGGCCCCAGTCGCCTCAGACATCCTCGGAGAACGACCCAGGTCTCAACCGTGCGGTGACCCCGAGAAGCCTTCTGGGAAGCTTCTGGGAAGCCTTTGAGAAGCCGTTGAGAAACCGCTGAGAAGCTTTTGAAAAGCCTCCGAGAAACCACTGAGGAGCCTCTGGCAAGTCTCTGAGGAGCGTTCGAAAACAAGCTCCCGGGAAGCCTATGTGCAGATGTGTGTGGAGTCTGGTATTGTTTTATTGTAGTTGTATTGCATATGTCTCGGAATTACTGGGATTTTTTGTTCTTCAGAGGGGGAGGAGGATAATGAGGAGCAAGAGGAGGAGGAGACGGAGGAGGACGAAATAGAGGACGAACAGGGTGTAGAAGAGGTATAGGGGGGGCACGAGGAGGTACGCAAGATATTGTAGGACGAGGTGGCAGGATGTAGGACGAGGTAGGAGGAGGAGGAGGAGGAGGAGGAGGGGGAGGAGGAGGAGGGAGAGGAGGAAGAAGAGGAGGAGGAGGGGCAGGGGGAGGGGTGGGCGTCTGGTGGGGGGGGGAGAAGGAAGGGGAGGGGGGACGCTAGTATGGGGAAAAGGAGGGGAGGCGAAGGAACGGAGAGGGGGGAAGGGGGGGTGAGGGGGGGAGGGGGGGGGGGCGGAGGGGCAGGGGGAGGGGGAGGGGGAGGGGCAGGGGGAGAGGGAGGGGGATCGACGCGAGCACCAGGCATTCGCACCGCATCGGTCTGTTGGCATGTGTGCCAGCTCCCGCGGGGACAATGCCCTACGTCGGCAAAGCGCGTTGCGATGCAGCGCATGTGAGCTGCAGAGGTAGTAGCGGGCGATGTGCCGAACCTTCTGTGGTTGGCCCGATAGCAATTGTTTTTGTTCCGAATGTATTGTTGGAGACTTCTGCAGCCAGAATGGCTCTTGAGAGCCGACTCTTAATCATCACAATGTTGAAGCTTCCCCCAAATTATAGCAACCATTTCGGCTCGGTCACCACAAGCTGTGATCCGCCCCAAGTGGTCGACGATCGGCCCGAAGTGGTTGCGATCGGTCCTGATCGCCCCGCCCCCCCCAATCCAGCACTGGCTTCCCTCTCTCGAAGGGAACCGGCATAAACATAAACTTTTGGGGCTCCGCGCGCATTTCTTGGATCCGCGCTAGGCCCCCCTGGCAGCGCCTCCGGTGCCGCCCTTGGCGCGCTCCGCGCGCCAGGGCATCGCGGATCCAAGATATTCGTGCGGAGCGTCAAAAGTTTATGTTCATGCAGTTTTTTCTTCTAATTTCTCCCACTCCGGCTGCCGCCACTCCAACCCCAGACGAAGTTCGCGAGTGTCGAGTCACGACCTCCTCCCCGGGCCCTGGCCCGCACGCGCTCAGCCTTCGCAGGAATGGCGCATCGGACCGTCGATGCGCGCTCGCTTCCCGACGACGACGACGACGCCGACGCCGACGACGACGCCGACGACGACGACGACGACGACAACAAAGACGACACCGCCGACGACGACGACGACCGCGGCGGCGGCGGCGACGGCGGCGGTCTCCCACGCGGCGCGCCGCACACGGGCTGGCCGCCCCCTCGCCGGGCAGGTCACGGACAAGATCGCGAGCGGCGTGTCCAAGGGTTTGTCGAAGGCGATCCTCCTCCTCCTCCTCCTCCTTGTCCTCCTTTTCATCCTTTTCCTCCTCCTCGTCGTCCTCCTCCTCCTAACGCAGCCTCAGCTGCCACATGTTCTGCGCCTTCGGGGTCTGCGGCGAGTGGTGGCGGTGCGGCTGGTGCGACCGTGCTGACCCCTCCTGGAGCACGGCTGCAGGCAAGCCTTGCCCCCAAGGGTGGCATTACAAGATCGGCACCATCACATGCACACGGTGAGTCGGTTGTTGGAGATGGGGAGACATGTTCGCTCTTTGGCACGGCGCGCGACAAGCGTTGCCTTCGTGTTACCGTGCCACGACTCTGTCCAGAGGCAAGGAGGCGAATTGTCCGAAGTCCGCCAAGATAAAAGAAAGTGTTGGGTGTTTGTCGGAAGTTTGTCGAGGTCCACGGTGGTCTCCATCAGCTGCGCCTCGTCGATGGCGTGCCGGAGGTACCAGGATCGCTCCGCATGGACGCCAAAGACCCGAGTGATTGGCCCTGCCCGAACGACGAGTGGCACCGTTACGGTCGGATAGGCTCAGGGGGAAACGCATCGACCCTCAATCGCCCTCTCATCGCAGACAGGGGCCCGATAGGGCCACCGGCCCATCCCGCTCAGAAGCGTGTGGATTCCTCATCGGGGGCCTATGGCCGATCAATCGGCCAGCTCGATATTCCCCCCCCCCCCCTGGAGCCAGTCACCACCTGACGTTGCCCATCACTTTGTTGGTTGCGGGTCGTATTTCTCCCCAGCCGCTGAACCCTGACATCCTCGCGTCGTGAAGAAAAACACGGCGGGAGTTGCTGCGCCGTTTTCGAATCCCTTGGGTCTTCTTTGGGCCCTGGGACAGTCAAAGACTAATCAGCACGTAAAGCTGATCCAGTGGAATGGTCCAGATTTTGGGGGAGCCTCGCTTCGAAACATTCACGACGTCGGATCTCTGGGAACGCCCTACGCGTCAGGACAAGCTTCCCTTGTGGCTGATAGTTTTTGGCCTCGCCTGCCTTCTCGCAGTATCACCTGGCGTTCCCTGAAGCCAACAACTGCCCCCGCTTCTCGCAAGCCCCGGTCGCAGCACAGGCAGTTCTCTGTTCACATGTTCTGTCTCACATGCGCACGCTTTCTGACGTCTCTCTCTCTCTCTGTCTCTCTCCCTGTCTCTACATTCGGACGTGTGCATTCTTCCTTCGGCGAGGACCATCGAGGAGCATCCTTGATCGTTTGGCGAAGAAACCATGCACGAATCCGAAAAAAACACAGGGAATGGACGTCCGAGCGATGGCCAGCCAGAGTGCCCTTGGTTTCTTTGGCTTCGATGGTTTTGCTGCGAAGAGCGCGACATTCCCACACCAAACATCAATGGACGTCCTGGAGTCTCAGGGCTGGGCTTCTTGTGGAAGGTTTCTTGTGGTCGAGCTCCTACTGTAAGAGAACACATGGATTCTGCAGTGTGGTTGGCCTCCTCTGAGTATTTCGAAGGCCATACGGCCAGTGCCGCAGACCCTGAAGGGGGACGACGACGGCGATGATGACCACGACGAGGCTGAGTTCTGGAGCCGAAACCTCCTCCCAGGGAGAGGTGCTCCCGTCAAGTGGGAGTCTGCACTGTGACCCTCCGCTGTGTATCTGGTGCCAGACGCTCCGAAGGCCCTCGTGCTGAAAACCTCATGCCACAAAAGCCCTCATGCTAGAAGCCTCATGATTCACAGAAGGTCTCAAGCGAAAAGTGTCCTCATGCTAAGAGCCTCATGCCGCAGAGGACCTCAGGCCACACAAGTCCTGATGCTAAATGCCTCATGCAGCAGAAAGCCTCAAGCCACACGAGTCCTCATGCTAAAAGCCTCGTGCCGTCAAAGTTCCCTCATGACGGCGATGCTGATGATGATGATGCTGATGATGATAATCATGGTGATGATACTGATGGTGATGATGGTGATGATGATGATGACGATGATGATGACGATGCTGATGATGATGGTGATGATGATGTTGATGATGATGATGATGATGATGGCGATGATGATGATGATGATGATGATGATGATGATGATGATGATGATGATGATGATGATGATGATGATGATGATGATGATGATGATGATGATGATGATGATGATGATGATGATGATGATGATGATGATGATGATGATGATGATGATGATGATGATGATGATGATGGTGATGGTGATGGTGATGGTGATGGTGATGGTGATGGCGATGATGAAAGCCTCATGCCGCAAAAGCCCCCATGCACTTGTGAGGGCAGGACTTCCACAGAGCCCTGCGGCCCCCCCCGAGGCCACGGACCTCATGTCCAAGAGACCCGGCTCCGCCGAGGGGGGCACGGCGAACGCCGCCAGCGCGGCGAGTACAGGCCGGGCCACGACGACGACGACGAGAGCGACGACGACGACGACCACGACGACGGCGACAGCGACGACGACGACGAGAGCGACGACGACGACAACGACCACGAAGACGGCGACGACGGCGGCGACGATGATTATGACGACGACGACGACCACGACGACGGCGACAACGGCGACGACGACGACGACAAGGACGAGGACGAGGACGTGGGCAACGACAACGACGAAGGTTACCACGACGACGACGTCGAGAACGACTACGACGACGAGGACGACGAGAGCGCCGAGGACGACGACGACGAGGACGTGCACGACGACAACGACGACGAGGACGACGGCGAGGATGACGAGGAGAAGGAGGACGACGACGGTGACGGCGACGGCGAGGACGACGACGACGACGGCGAGGACGACAAGAATGCCGAGGACGACGACGACGACAGCGAGGACGGCGACGACGACGGCGACGACGACGACGAGCCCGAAGGCGAGGACGGGGACAACGACGACGACGAAGATTACCACGACGTCGACGTCGAGGACGACTACGACGACGAGGACGACGACGCGAAGGACGGCGACGACAACGACGACGACGAGGACGACCACGACGAGGACGATGACGACCACGATAACGAGGACGACCACGACGAAGTCGACGACGACGAGGACGACGGTGAGGATTTCGAGGAGGAGGAGGACATCGACGACGGCGACGACACTGGCGGCGGAGGACGGCGAGGACGACGACGACGACGATACCGACGACGACGAGGACGACGAGAGCGCCGAGGACGACGACGACGAGGGCGAGGATTGCGGCGACGTCGACGATGACGAGGATGAAGACGCGGGCAACGACGGCGACGAAGAATACCACGACGACGACGTCGAGAGCGATTATGACGACGACGACGACGAGGACGCTGACGACAACGAGGACGACGACGACGAGAACGAGGACGACGACGACATCGACGAGGACGACGCCAAGAACAACGGCGAGGATGACGAGGAGGATGAGGACGACGACGACAGCGACGGCGAAGGCGACTGGGACGAGGAGAACGACGACGAGGATACCGTGGACGCCGACGACGAGGTCGCCGAGGACGGCGTCGACGAAGACGAGGACGACGACGACAGGGGGCAGCGACGACGACGAAGATTATCACGACGACGACGTCGAGAACGACTACGACGATGAGGTCGACAACGACGAGGTCGACGACGACGACGACGAGGACGACCACGACGAGGACGACGACGACGACGACGGTGGCGAGGACGACGACGACGAAGATGGCGAGGATGACGAGGAGAAGGAGGAGGACGGCGGCGACGGCGACGGCGAGGACGACAACGACGACGATACCGACGACGACGACGAGGACGACGACAACGCCGAGGACGAAGACAATGCCGAGGACGACGACGGCGAGGACGGCGACGACGACGTCGACGAGGACGATGGCAAGAACAACGGCGAGGATGACGAGGAGGATGAGGACGACGACGACGGCAACGGCGAGGATGACGAGGAGGATGAGGACGACGACGACGGCGACGGCGACGCCGACTGGGACGAGAAGAGCGACGACGAGGATACCCCGGACACCGGCGACGAGAACGCCGAGGACGACGACGACGCCGACGACGGCGAGGACGGCGTCGACGAGGACGGGGACGACGACGACAGGGGGCAGCGACGACGACGAAGATTACCACGACGACGACGTCGAGAACGACTACGACGATGAGGACGACGACGACGACGAGGACGATCACGACGAGGACGACGACGGCGACGACGGTGGCGAGGACGATGACGACGATGAAGGCGAGGATGACGAGGAGAAGGAAGAGGACGGTGGCGATGGCGACGGCGAGGACGACAACGACGACGATACCGACGACGACGACGAGGACGACGGCAACGCCGAGGACGTTGACGACGCCGAGGACGACGACGGCGAGGACGGCGACGACGACGACGACGACGATGACGAGGACGAGGACGTGGGCAACGACGACGACGACGACGATTACCACGACGACGACGCAAAGAACGACCACGACCACGAGGACTACGACGAGGACGAGGACGACGACGACGACGACCACGAGGACGACGGCGAGGACGGCGAAGACGAGGACGATGACGACGAAGATCACGGGGGCAACGACGACGACGACGGTGGCGATGACGACGAAGGACGTCGACGTCGACGCCTGCGAGGACGACGACGGCGAGGACGACGATGACGACGTCGACGACGACGACGACGAGGATCGCGGCCTCGGCGACGTCGACGACGATGACGACGACGACGACGGGGGCAGCGACGACGTTGACAATCTGGACGACGACGACGACGACGACTGCGGTGACGACGACGAGGACGACGACGACGATTCCGACCGACATCGCCGACGACGACGACGATACATGGACGACGGCGACGACAAGGACGATGACTACGAGGAAGCTGACGACGACGACTACGCGGAAGACGACGCCGTGGACGCCGACGACGACGACGACTGCGAGGACCACGACGACAACGCGGACGACGACGACGAGGACGACTGCGACAACCACAATGACGACTACGAGGACGTCGGCGACGATAGTGGAGACGACGACTACCGCGACGACGGCGACGACGGACAAGAGGGGCAACGACGGCGACGATAATTACGACGGCGACGACGACGAAGACGGTGACGGCGACGACAAAGAGGAGGACCACGACGACGACGACGACAATAGGAGCCACGCCGACGAAGATAATTATGACGACGACGACGACGACGGCGAGGACGACGGCGAAGACGACGACGACGCCGCCGACGACGACGACGATTGCGAGGTCGACGGCGAAGACGACGGCGACAATGAGGACGACGACGACCACGGCGATGATCACGAGGACAACGACGGGGGCAACGACAACGACGACGCTTACGACGACGACGGTGGCGAGGACGACGACGACGACTACGAGGAAGACGGCGACGACGAACACGACGACGGGGGCAACGACGACGATGTTGATTACGACGACGACGACGACTGCGAGGACGATGGCGTGGACGACGACGGCGAGGACGACGACGGCGAGGACGACGACGACGTCGTTGGGGGCAACGGCGACGACGACGACGACGACGGGAGCAACGCTATCGATGATTACGACGGCGGCAACGACGACGACGACGACGACGGCGGGGGCATTGACGGATGACGATGATTACAACGACGACGACGCCGAGGACGACGACGCCGACGTCGAGGACGACGACGGCGGCGAGGACGATGGCGAGGATGACGACGACGACGACGACGACGACGGTGACGTCGACGACGACGACGACGACGACGGCGGCAACGACGACGATGATGACGACGGCGCCGAAGACGACGATGATGACGAGGATACATGGACGACAACAACGACAAAGACGACGACGACGATGGGGGACTGACGACGACGATGACGACGACGACGACGAGAACGACGACGACTGCGAGGATGACGACGGCGAGGACGACGATGACGAGGTCGACGACGACGACGACGACGACCACGACGACGACGACGACGACGACGGTGGCATCGGCGACGACGACGATGACGATCACGACGACGGGGGCAGCGACGACGTTGATAATCTGGACGACGACGACGACAACGACGACGACGACGACGTCGACTGCGACGGCGAGGACGACGGCGAGGCTGACGACGACGCCGACGACGATGACGACGACGACGACGAAGACGACGGCGAAGACGACGGCGACGACAAGGAGGAGGAGGAGGAGGAGGAGGACGACGACGACGACTACGACGAGGACGACTGCAGCGAAGGTGGCAAAGGGGGCGACGGGGCCGACGACGAGGACGGGGGCGACCTGCAGCAGCGAGGGCGGGGCTGGAGCCAGGACCAGGTCGGAGAAAACGCTGCGCACTACGGTGCAGGTCTTGGCAGGTCAATTTCAGCATCGGCGCTGGTTGCTCTGCGGTCGACAGTCTGCCTAGTCGGGCCTGCTTCGATGGGCCTGTTTTCCACCACCACCACCACCATAAGTTGAAGGGGGGAAGGAGGAGGACGACGAAGAGGAGGAGGAGGTGTTGGAGGACCCCCTCCGCCTCCAACTTACGGTTGTGGTGGTGGTGGAAAACGGGCCCATCATGACTCTGTTGAATTCCGCTCATGCCCGCGTCATTTTGCTCAGGAGCTCCTCGCTGGATCGCGGCGAAGGCGGCTCACTGGCCTTTCCATCTCGCCGAACAGTCCTGGCATCGTTCGCGCGAAGACCCTCCGGGAGCTGCCTCCTCAGAGACTGGGGAACAGGGCGGCACGGAACCTGCCGCTTGCAGCCAGCTTCGGCCCTGCCGCCAGGAGCTTTCCTCCACAGTTTGGCGTCACGAAAGCCAGCTACGTGAGCTCATTCGCTAATTCCCGTTTTAAGAGGCTTGCGCCGTGCCGCTGATTCATATATCAGTGAATTCGTCAAGAGTCGTGCCACCGTGCTGGCCTTTGGGTCAGGAGTCTTGGGGGTGCACATGGGAGTCTCCTGGAGTGCCTCTTAGGAGACTTTGGCTGGGCTCTTGGAGGGATCTGATTGGTCTTTGGGGGCCTCTTGGACGCCTCTTTGGACTTTTTCGGGGGGCGTCCAGGGGGGTTACTCGAGGGCCCTTGGGGCCGTGACGACGGGAAAGAGTCAAGATGCACAATCGCAATGCACTCTTGGGCTTTTCTTGGATCCTGGGCCGTCTAGGGAGCCCCAGGGGCCGTCTCAACAAGAAAACGTGTACGCCGAACATAGATTGTTCGCCCAAGGGAGTGTGACGGTTTTTGCCTCTTGGGACCCTCTCGGCGGCAATCTCGTAGGGCGTCTTAAAGCCATCTTCGACCGTCGCGGGGTCACCCCGGGTCGTCTCGACGCTCTCTCTCTCTCTCTCTCTTTTAGGTTGTCTCGGTGCTCATTGGGCCGTCTTGGGTTTTCGGGGGTTCTCTGGATGCTCCAGAGAGCCCCCGGAGGTACGTTGGCGAGCTCGTGCCCCCCTCCCAGAATAGGATGCTGGACCCCAGGGGAGGGGAATTTGGGGGAGGAGAGGCAGGAAATCATTTCACGCGCCCTTCTACCCCCAGCAAGCGGGGTCCGGCGGACTGCCAGCCCTTTCGTCCGACCCGAGAGGATCTGGGCCTCCTAGATGGGGTCGGAGCAGATGGGGTGGGAGGATCGCACCGCATCGCCGATGCATCGGCGATACATCGGCGATGCGGCTCGATGTGGGGCCCAATTTTCTACACGCCCACGTCGCCGATGCATCGCTGACGTCGCCAGTGCATGGCCGATGCATCGCCGATGCATCGCCGATGCATCGTCGATGCATCGGCGATGCGGTGAGATGCTCCGACCCCATCCATTCGCCCCATCTACAGTCGGGGCCCTGAAGGAACCCTTTTCGTTGGGGAGGGGCTCCGTGTTCCTTAATTGTTTCGCAGCTTGCCTTGGAGTTTCCTTAGGTTTCCGATACGAAATCGAAGTTCAACTCATGGAAAAAAGGTGCCTCGTTCCTTATTCAGGGTTCCTTAGGTCCACGCTTCGACTGTAGGAGGCCTCTGGAGGAGGGCGAAGGCCTCTCTGGAGGAATGGGGAGGAGGGCAGGCTTCGGGGGCAGATTGCCTGAAGTTTCCGAGGCCCGCTGTGGGTGTACAGCGGCCGCGCCTTACCGACAGCGTCCCGCGGGGTCTCATCCTCCTCCTTCTCCTCCTCCTCCTCCTCCTCCTCCTCCTCCTCCTCCTCCTCTCCTCCTCATCCTCATCCCCATCCCCATCCCCATCCCCATCCTCCTCCTCCTCCTCCTCCTCCTCCTCCTCCTCCTCCTCCTCCTCCTCCCCTCATCATCATCATCTTCCTCATCCTCATCCTCATCCTCCTCATCCTCATCCTCATAATCCTCCTCTTCCTCCTCCGCCGTCTCCTCCTCCTCCGCTTCCTCCTCCGCCTCCTCGGGACAACGTTGGGGGGGGATGGGCTCAGTGGGGGCGCATCGATCCCCCATCGCCCACTCATCGCCGATAGTGGCCCGACGGCCGAACTCGCCTAGGAACGTGCGGGCTCGCGATCGAGGGTCTATTGCCGATGGATCAGCGATGCATCGCCGATGCCAGGTCGATGTGCCTCCCCCACCCCCATGAGCTGGCCAATCCTTCATCCTCCCCCCTCGAGAGAGACCTCCAGATGGTCGGTTCCTGTCGACGCGGCGGCGGCAGGGGGCGCGGGCGTGCAAGGCTGAACGACGCCAGCGGCCCAGAATCGGCCAACGCAGGGCCCATCCCGATCCGATCGATCCGCTTCGGTATCTGCTCCGGCCGGCGCGATCCGATTCGATTCCGATTGTCGGGTGATTTTCGGAGCGTGAATTACCTACCCCGCTTTCGCTTCCAGGCAAAACCAAGTCATACCACGCGCCTCCTCGTCAAGCGGCCTGACCAGTACAGGCCGTAGTTTGGCATCGTTTGGTATCTCTTGTAGGTTTGTTTTCGCCCTAGATTTGATGCGACCCGGCGCGCACACGGCGTTGTGGTGCATCCTGCTGCAGCCGATCAGATGCGGTCCCGAGCCCGTGCCGCTGCGGCCCGATCTGACGCGCCATCCGAGCCGGGTCCGATGCTCCAAGTCAAGGACGTTTGTTCCTGCCAAAGCCGAGCCGGGCGAAAGGGGGGGATTGGGAAAGGGGGGGTTACGACATCTGCTGCATGCAGCTGGTTTCGGCCCCACCGAGGGGCCCATGCCTCGATACATGGGCGCCTCTGGCGCCGGGAGGCGCCCGGAAAATCAGCTACGCGAGCCGATTCTCGAACCCCCCCTTTGCTATCCCCCCTTTCGCCCGACCCGGCAAAGTGGAAAGGTCTGGCGATCGACAAGCGGCCGATAGCGCTGGTCGTTCAACGCTGGTGTCGTCACGGCACGCACTGCCCGTAATCATAAACATTCGCAGGTCCCTGCGGATTTTTCTTGATCTGCGCTGGGCCAATCTGACGGTGCCGCCACTCGTGCGCTCCGCGCGCCAGGGCGACCAGTGCTGATCCAAGGAACCCGCCTTCGAAAGTTATGTGTTTGACGATTGTTGTTCTGCCTGTTCTCTTGCTCCCCCCCGATCACCAGTGGGGCAGGAGTCCGAGGAGGAAGGGGAGGAGCGATCACATCAGCTGGACAGGCAGAGGGCCCCTTCATACACCCCCGCTTGGGAGCGGATGGGGAGGGGGGGCTGGAGGAGAAGGCTGGCATTCAGGCTGGGAGGGGTGGTCGCCGTCCTCGCCGCCGCCGCAGTCGTCGGCGTCGGCTTCGTCGCCAGCGCCGATGCCACAACCCGCTCCAAGCGGGACCCCGACCCCCCCTCTGAGTCCGTCCTGGCCCATCTTCCTGGCTCCGCGCGGCCGTGGCGACGAGAGCCTCTGGAGCCCCGCACGGAGAGGCCTCCGAAGCGACGACGCCGCCGCCTTCGTCGCCGCCGCCGCCGCCAGCGGCGCCGTCGCCGTCGGTGGCGTCGTCGTCGGCATCGCCGTCGCCGCCCTGGCGCCGCGAGGCGCCTCGTGACCCCCCCCGCGCGCAGCGGTCGCGCCGCGCCGCGCCGCCCCGCGCGCCGCGCGCGTTCGCGGGGCGGCGGCGGCGCGCCCGACTGGGACGCCCCGCGAGAGCGCGGCGCGGCCGTTCGGCGGCGGCCCTCGGCGGCGGCCCCTCGGGCGGCGGCTCCTCGGCGGCGACGGGGTGCACCATGCCTCTCCCATCTCCTCCTCCTCCTCCTCCTCCTCCTTTTCCTCCTCCTCCTCCTCCTCCTCCTCCTCCTCTTCCCCTCGTCCGTTCTTCCGCTTCCCCTCCTCCGCACGGAGTCACTGTGAATACCAGCTTCTTCTCCTCTCATGAGTCTGCTCCGCTGCGGCCCTGCCTCTCCCGAGTACTTTGCAATTACAGGGTGTCAAGATTATGAAGGCTTTGCTGCTGGCGCAGCCCACTCATAAGGAAGACGAACATCACGACGACGACGAAGACCACGACGACAATGATAAGGACGAACTGATGACACTGCCACAAACTCGGGAAATGTTGGTGGGCAATGGAGGGAGGTGGAGGAGAATGTGGTGGAGGAGGAGGAGGAGGCGCAGGAGGAGGAGGAGCAGGAGGAGGAGGAGGAGGAGCAGGAGGAGTTGGCGGAGGAGGAGGAGGAGGAGAGGGGCGGAAGGTTGAGGATGATTAGGACAGAGGAGGAGTTGGAGGAGGAGGAGACGGACGAGGAGGAGGAGGAGGAGGAGCAGGAGGAGTTGGAGGAGGAGGAGGAGGAGGAGGAGGAGGAGGAGGAGGAGGGGGAGAGCCATGTGTCTCCTCGGGGGCTGGCGTCTGGGAGGCGACGGGGCCAGGGCCCCGGGGCCGCGGAGCCCCGGGGCCCCAGGGCCCAGGGTTGGGGCCTGGGCGCGGCCGGGGCCGGGACGGGGGCTGCAGAGCCAGGGCCGCGGTGCCGGCGGGGCAGGGGACGGCGGTGCCGGCTGGCCAGGGTTGAGGTCGGGGCCGGAGCCGGAGGCTGTCAAGCAGTGGCGAAGCGTATTGGCGTGCCTATAGTCCTACCAGGCAATGTTATAAAAACCTTTTGTGGTTCCCCGGCATGTTCTTAGAGCATTTCTGGCTGGTACTGTACTGTTTTAACACATGGTGTCTTATGCTCTAAGAACATTGCTTGTGTTATTAAAACAGTTTTGGGTTCTGAGAGCATGTCGTGGTAGGACTATAGGAATGCCGGGACGGTGGGTCCCTGCTCAAGGCTGGGGGCCACAGGGCCGGGACCAGGGCAGTCCATACTCTTCGTTGTCGCCACATTCATTTCCTCTTTTCCCTCTTGAACCTGGCACCGATCCTCTTGCTTTTTTCCCGCTCCTCCTGCCTCTATTGCTGCTGCTCATTCTCTCCGTTTCTCGCCACCTATCCTCTTCGTTTCTCGTCACCTCCTGCTGCCCCTGCTCCTGCTCATCCACCTTTTCCTCCTTCCATGTGCACAGCTCACTTCTCTGATTACGCACCGCACGAAGGGGCCACTTACGTAGGGTATCCATGTCTGCAGGGGCACCTGCTGGCGGATGACAACTAACCAGCGCAACGGGAAGGTATGTGTGTGAGAGGGATAGGATGCGAGAGATGGCTCGAACGCACCCAGCCTGCCCCTGCCTCTCTCATGTCCTCTGTATCCTGAGCAAGCAGCACTTCGCACCCGACCTTCCCGGTTCCCCGATTCCCCCTCCCTGCCCTCACCTGCGTTGTCCCCCATCCCCTACGGTCGGACCGAGATGGAAGAGCGAGATCGGGTCGGGGAAGGTACCCTGATGTGTTTCGTGCCTGTTGGATGTGTCTTGTGCATCCTGGGGAAGGGTACCCGCGAAGGTTCTTCACCTTGACCAGAAGAGGGTCTCGTGTTCTTGAGGGATGTTATTCTGTACGAGGTCCGAGCATAGTCCCCCATCCCCCACCTCCCCATGCCACTCCAGCCGGGTCAGCACATGACCGAGTGCTTCACGAGGGGCCACCGCCTCTTCCAAGCGATCCCACCACTTGCCGCAGCGCCGGGCTGGCCGGGGACGGTATCGATCTGGCGGGCGGAGGGTAGACGGGGGAGGACAAACCACCCCAACCCCCATAATTTCTAGACCTCCTAGATGGGGTCGGAGCAGATGGGGTCGGAGGGTCGCGCCGCATCGCCGATGCATCGGCGATACATCGGCGATGCGGCTCGATGTGGGGCCCAATTTTCTCCACGCCGACGTCGCCGATGCACCGCCGACGTCGCCAGTGCATCGCCGATGTATCGGCGATGCGGCGAGATCCTCCAACCCCATCTACTCGGACCCCATCTGGGAGGCCTCTATAATTGGCGTTCACTAGACGGCCCTGGGCGTTTACTAGACAGCCATGTCCTGTTCGATGGTTTCTTTCCGGGACGATCAACATGGGTACGGAAAGCACGGGTACGATGCCCAACAGGGTTTCCTGATTACTTTGAACAGGAATCGCTGTCCGCGCCGCCGCGGGCGTTACTCTTTGAAGACAAAAAGCCGCCTACCCAACAGCGGCCGCTGTCGGTGTTGGACAACATATGTTGTGGGGCTTTGTACACATCTTTACGCATCCAGATGAAATCCTCGGGTGCGTTTGTTTCACAGTTTCGCTTGTCGGGGTGCTTGTTATGAGGATGGATCTTCTGCTCTCTACAGTCGGCCCCGGATTAGTAGATCGACCTTGCCAAATCAAGGGTACTCTTGTGTCCTGTGTCTCGCGACCCATGCCTCTTACATTCCTGTGGCAGTGTGGCCCTCGGCCCTCTCGCGTGTCCTGTCCTCTGAAGTTCGACTGTAGGTACGGGCATATGCCTCCAGTCCACCTTGCTCTCGGCGAACGTCGGCTTGACGCCTTCTTGCGTTGTGGTATCCTAGCCCCGGCCCCTCCTCGATCCTCAGGCTGCCTGCCCCGCGCCAACCTCGCGCCCTGCGACCGCGCGCGCCGCGCTCGCAGGGCGGCCGCCCGGGACGACTCTGGCACCCCCGGAGCGCCCGCGACGAGGCGCAGCCGACTTGGCATCGCTCGGACGTGTGTATTTTTCCTTCCGCGAGGACCATCGAGGAGCATCCTTGGTCATTTGGCGAAAACACCCACGCACGAAACCGA